ATATCTTTTGAAGGTAGAACCAATAGAATTTTCTTACACATGGAGTGAAGAGGAAAGGAGGCAAGGATGATCACAGTATTCTAGGTTTGGAGTTGAAGAAAAGTTCAAATATTTAGTTATATTTAAAACTTATGAGCTAGGAGAGATTGGCATCAAGGGAGAGAATTAAATGGAGAAAAAGTCAATAAATAAATGTTAATAAGATGTCTAAGGTCTGAAGCCTGGAGAGTTCTACCATAAAGAGATAAGGGAGAAGAGCATGAACGACTCAGGTTCTGAGAAGCAGCATTGGTGAAGTAGGAAGAAAATTTAGGAGAGCCTGGCATCTTGCAAGCCAGGTAAAGAAAGTTTATTAAGGTTCAGAGAGTGTTCACATTTGTAAGTTCTGCCATTCATTTTTGATTTCTGATCTATGTCCTAAAAAAGAGAAGTGAAGTTAGTCATTGGCTGAGAAAGGGACATGTTTAGGTAAGTTAAGAGTGTTGGAATTTGTAGGAAAAGTTTACATAGTTCAAATGTTTATGGAAATGGAAGAGAGAAGCATGAGTGTTATAATCTGAAATTGATTTTGGCCGTTTGAGGAATGTGCTTAATCTTTATTCATTGAGGTAGAAATGTTGACACTTTTATTTGAATTTTCTTTTGTAATAATGTCTTTTCTTTGTAGAAAATTTGCTGGAAATCATATTGTTCAGACACAGCTGATGAACGACTTATTGGTAGGCATTAGAGTTTCAATGGTGTTAGTACAAAAAGTACAAGTTTTCCAGGGAAATCTTTGGAAGGCTTCTAGTTCTCCCATATGGCAAAGTATGTGTGGATTGCTGAATATTTTCACCAAGTTTTTAACCGATGGTAAGTGTAATAACAAACAAATGATGGTTATAACTGAGTGTAAATTAGCTTTTTCTAATAATAGTATGAATTACAATACTTAACTGAGATGGAGAATATCTCCACGCTCAGCCTCTCAAAGGGGAGGAAGGCTGTGGATTACATGGCTTTAATGTTCTTTTTTTCTTTTTTTCAAATGTACCAATTGAAAAAGGGATCATGTTGGGTTCCATGTCGTAGTACGGTGGTTACGGCGCCAGCCACATTACACCAGGGGTGTCAGGTTCGAACCCAGCCTGAGCCAGCTAAACAATGATAACTGCAACAAAAAAATAGCTGGTTATTGTAGCAGGTGCCTGTAGTGCCAGCTGCTTGGGAGCCTGAGGCAAGAGAATTGCTTAAGCCCAAGAGTTTGAGATTTCTGTGAGCTATGATGCCACAGCACTCTACCGAGGGTGACATAATGAGTCTCTGTCTCAAAAATAAATAAATAAATAAATAAATAAAGAATTAAAAAAAGGAATCATGTTGAAGGACATTTCTACATTTGTGTATGTACTGTATTATTTTGTATATGAAGGAGAAAACCTAACAGTCTTAGTATTGGAAAGCCATAGACTTTAAATAGCAAAAGAAAATTCTTTAGAAGAAATTTCCAGATTTGGAGGGACGATCCGGGAAGTTAGTGCAGCCATATACTTATTCTTAGCAGTTGGTATTCTCTTCAAATAATGATAGTATTGCGGACGGTGGCCTTAAGTCAGTATTCTTCCTTATATTTCATATGAACTGTAGTGCTAGGAAACCAAATAGTAGATGAGAGGAATGTCCCTTTGTAAAAGTATTTTAAGTACTCAGTTAGGATGAAATGATAGAGTATCAATGTTTTGTAACACCCAGCAAATCAATAGTCATTAAGCATCAAAAATTGCTAACATTACAGAAACAGAAAACCAGATAATATGTGCCTCTTAGAGTCTTGTTGTTCCTACCTGTAGTCTTTTTTTTTTTTTTTGAGATAGAGTCTCACTATGTTGCCCTCCGGAGAGTGCTCTGGCATCACAGCTCATAGCAACCTCAAATTCTTGGGCTCAAGCCGTTCTCTTGCTTCAGCCTCCCAAGCAGCTGGGACTATAGGCACCTGCCACAATGCCTGGCTAGTTTTAGAGACGAGGTTTTGCTCTGGCTCAGGCTGGTCTCAAACCTGTGAGCTAAGGCAATCCATCCATCTCAGCCTCCCAGAGTGCTAGGATTACAGGTATGAGCTGCTGCACCTGGCCTACTACCTGTAGTCTATTCAAAGAATTAAACTAGAGACTAGATTACTTGCCAACTAGCAGTTGCAGAGGAAAGAGGAATGTGTTGAACTGCATCAGGAGGAGGCAAATATGCCATCCAGATGTGGGAAACCATAGGTCGAATATCCAGAATTTTTTAACAGAGACATTGTAGTGAAAAGAAAGGGATGAAGAGATACATGTAAGATTAAAAGACATTTAAAAGCTGTTAAGTTTTAAAAAATGATGAAGACAATTATTTTGTCACATTTATTTGATAAAACTGTTAAAGAAATGTAAGGAATCATTGCTGTGGAAGTCAGGATGGTGCTTACTCAGTGGGAGGAGAGATTGTGATTGAGATGAGGCATTTGGGTGAAACTTCTCAGGGTGGGTGAGTTCTCTTTCTTGCTTTAGATGGTGGGTATGAGAACGATCATTGTCTCCAAATTTATTAAGCTATACATTTGTTTTGGGTTGTTTTTTATAGCTGTGCTCTTATATTACAATAAGGTTAACAAAGAAAGTGATACCTAACACATAAGTATCTACATAAAAAGTTAAATTATCATTTCTTCTTTTACCTCTTATTCTATACAGTAATATATGTATGAATTTAACTTACTTAGAAAAATACTGGGATCTAATGGGATCTGTTTAGATCTGTAATTTGGAAAAAGCAGTAATTGACTCTGGTTTTACTAGGCTGATTTGCTAGGGAAAAAGTA